GTCGACGATCGAGGCACGATCGACACCTCGTGCAGGGTGTCCAGTGGATCGAGAACGAGGCAAATATACAGAGAGAGACGTTGTACGCGAGAATTTTCATCCGAGGGAATCGGGATAGGAAGTACGCGCCTTTTAAGGTGGCATTCTGGATTTGAACGATATTTTTCCATGGTTTCAAGGGTTGAAAAGCAAGCTTCCTTCGTTCCGACTCGAAGACTGAATGACGCCTTTTAATTTCATGTAGGAAAATTAATATTGCGTCGGTTTTCTATTTTGAATAGAGGAAATGAGAATCAGTAGTTAAAAGTGAGATGAATATGTAATTTTATTATTATTGTTTCTAATGAAAAACATGAGAATCAGTGGTTGCAAGTGAAATAAACGCATAATTTTATTATTATTGTTTCTGAAGAAGAAAGGAAATAAGAATCAATAGTTAAATGTAAAATGAATATATAATTTTATTATTACTACTGTTTTTAATGAAGAAAGAAAATGAGGATCAATAGTCAAAAGTGAAATGAGTATATCATTTTATTATTATTATTGTTTCTAATGAAGAACATTTAGAGAATCAATAGTTAAAAGTGAAATGAATACGTAACATTTGATTCTGCGAACAGATAACAGTAGGACTGATAAATAACACATTAAAAAAAACGTCAATGACACTCCCGCTGTACAAAATAAATAGAAAAATCGATTTTCCGAAAGTTCAAAACCAGAATGCCCCCTTAACTCGGCTAACACGACCATTGCCGATCATTTCCACTCACGTTTTCGCTTCCTTATTTATTTATTTATTTAAACGGCTTCCCGTTGCGCGCGCGCGCGAACTCGTTCACCGGAAACGAGGGAAAAGCGCGGGAAAAGAATTCGTTGGCGTGCGCTTGGGGCGATGTCCAGAGAATTACCTATAAATCTAAATCTATTATCTTAGCTTTTATTCGAGAGTTTCTTATCTTTTAACGACGATTAAAAATATGGTGAGGGCGATGGAAAATTAAATAATACGGTGTGGTGTCGACGAGACAGGAGTAACGATGATATAGGTTAGGTGGCCGTTGCCTAGAACGCTTGGGAAGCTCGGCACGCTTTCGAGTATCAGCTTCTCGAGGAATTAATGAAAAATTCACTCACCGCGGTCATTCCATTTACTGGACACTTTGTATGAGTCGCGCGTTGGTCGTTTAGGTAAACTAATCGTACGATGTAGAGAGATACGGTTGTTCACAGACACGCGTTCTAGTTCCCGAGGAACGTTCACGCGAACATCGTAAGCTGAGGAAATATTTGTAGATGCTCCGCGCAAGCGTTTTCGTCAATTGAACCCTTCACGAACAGTACCATTTCGGTTTGCCCAGTTTCCAAGCGTCCCGTAGAATATAGTGATCTAGAGAATTATCTCCGAAAAAAAAGAAAAACAAAATGTCACCGAAGGCAAGGATCAATAAAAAGCGTTCAGGGAAACCACAGCGGACAATACTCTTGTGATCAACTGTATTTCGCGAACGAGCATTTTTTCAAGGAGGCAAAGAAATTTGGAGCACAAATCCCGACACGACTAGAGACCATTCAAACCGAGGTGTACGCGTTTTGCAAACGGAACAACAATTTGCATTTTGCAGACACATGCCTAACACTTGTATTTATAAGGGAGCCTTATTTAATGAGCATTGTTTACCAGGCGTTTGTAGAATAATAAAAAGAAGATTCGTTCTTTAGCTCTTCCATGGGAATTTGTTTATTTATAGAGGAGCGAATTGTATCTGTCGATTCGCGGGTTACGCTTTGTTCATGTCGCGGGAGGTCGAGACGCGTACAATGTTCGAACGGAGCAAGATTTTTCTACGACGCAGCAGCTACAGACACGCAGAAATTAAGAATATAACGCACAAACGATTATTTCATTGGAGAGGATGTGCATCTGATATGTGTTTTTTTTCTGGTTCGATAGGGAATGGAAAAATTTTTATATCCGGTTTCGAATCGATACAACGGATGGTATGTAAATCTTGTACAAAATCAAACGCGTCTGTTCGCTCGAGTCTGTGTTTTCTTCTGTTTCAATTGTTTCCGAGGACGTTTAGGACATACGACGCTGTTTATACATTTTATTATTGCCGCGGCGTGTAAGGAAGATTACAATTGTTATAAGAGGAGGCATTGCTGCGCAATGTCAGATGCATAAAGATATATTATGTTTATTCCTCGCGGTTTTTGTTTATCAAACCCTTCCAATTATATGGTATACTTACATGTGTAGTACTTCCATTACAATACGTGTGTTCACTGAAATCGGACTAAAAATTTTTACATTGCGAACACTTCTCTTCCTTTCCCTTTTTTTTAGTTTGGTTGGGAAGCATTTACTGTGAAACTGAAACGCTCAATGGACAAGGCACAATTCTTTGGGAAAAAAACGAATACTAAATTTCTACACTGTGTATAAGCTTTTCTACAACAACTCCATGGTACAACAATATCTTACAAATTTTCGATTTCATATACAAGTTAACACGCATCGTAAATGATTCAATGTTAAGTAAACTACAATTCTTATACCATATTTTAATCTCCTTGACTAGATTTGCTATTGAAACTTTGTACTTTTTTATTGAAAATATTACAATTAAAACCTACACGTTCAATGGAATATTACTGACAAAAAATCGTAGGAGTTTAGTATTTTTTAAATGGCTCTGGTTAAATCCCATTTTCGTGCGATTTTTTGTCACAATATCTTTTTATATACAAGATTTTAATAAGAGTGTATATTTAGTGACTTATATTGAAGGCAGTACTTTTTGCAGACATTTTTTGTGATAAATACTAGTTATTTATACTCCTTTGTATGTATTGTAACATTAATTTTAATGGAGTATACAAATATGTAATAAACAAATACAATGACATTACAAATAGTTTATTCTCGACTTCTGAGAATTATAACAGCTAACCACATTGAATATATTTTTCCTATGTAAGGCTGTATGTGACACACAAGAGCAAATTCAACTGGACCGGTAATATTATGGATTTTTGTTGCATTTAACTGTTCAGTTAAGTCGTTCTTATCAGTGTCACGTTTGTTTAATATGAAACCGTGAATGTGATAAGCTCTGTGTAATTGCTTCAAATCCCTTTTATCTAACTGTGGCTCTGAAGAAGGTTCCACTTTGGAAATAAAATTCCTTAAGACAGTCATTGCATGTCTATTAAATATTGTTATCAAACCAAGTATGCTGCGCCATTCAGCCAATTTATCTTTCAAATGTTGTTCTATTTCAGCAGCTGTTTTTTTCAGTTGCTTTTCTTCCTCATCTGTAATACTTAGTTTAAGTGCTTGTACAGTATGATCACTTTTCAATGAAGTTGTTTCAATTGGCCGCCAATCTTTACTTGATTTCACATCGTATTTGAGATTATGTGGTAAAATGGATTTTTGCAAATTTTCCCATATCTGTTAAAATTATATTCATTGTCAATGATTAGAGTAAACTGCATGCTACTTTATATAAATGCATATTACAGATCATAATACTAACACCAAAGTGATTTATCAGACGGGACACCTTCATTAAGGGGCAATGGCTATCATCCATTTTATGATAATTTCCTGTTTCCGGATCCCATAATGTATGTATTCCATTTTCGCTAATACATAGGACGAATGCAGCCCATTTACTTATTTGCGAAGAACCTAATGTATTAATTATATTACTGAATTGAACAATTAAATAATATATACAGTGGTGTCTCGACTCACGAACATAATTCGTTCTAGTTCGAAGTTCGTGTGTCGAGCGGTTCGTAAGTCGAGGTTCCACTGTAATAGGAATACATACCTAATAAAATATATGTCTGTAAACCTAAGCCTTGTAACAATGTAGCAAGCAGAGCTGCCCTTCCAAAATGATCCACTTTCTTTATATTTAAGGCCTGACGCGGTGTTACTGGTCCATAATGTATTGGCAATGCCGGCAAGAGCATGACTAGTCTTGCAACATCCCTTGGATTTTCTAAGTTATTAACTTTATATGGTGTAACAAGACACCTTGGAATTCCTTTAATTATTGTGTTCATAGTGGTACTCTCAATGGACTTTGCAGTACCTGGATATTCCATTTTAATTAAAACATAAATACGAGTACATGATTGACCAGGACTAGCTTGCACATATCCAAATAATAGTAACGGACTGAATAAAGGTGATAATGTAATCCAGCGTTCAAGTTCTTGATAATTTCTATGATGTTCAAATGGAATTCTAGTTTCACCTAGCCACTGCTGACCCCAGACAGGATGTTGGTCATATAAACGAAATTTTATGCAATATTCATCATTTTGTTTTGGTAATTCAAAGTGCATTGTTTGCTGCCACAAAGGAGCTGGTCCCTCTGCTATAATTGTTCTGTTTACAGTGTTGCCCCATTCAACTTCTACAAATGGTTGAACTAATGCAGACTCTTCCCTAATTGGTATTTCTATTCCACGTAAAACATTAACAGTCAGAACTGTTTTTCCCATTGTATGATGTCTTCGAGTAATTGTTGATGGTTCCAATTGTCTTTTAGCTTGAAATAGATCCATGAAAGATATATCGAATAAAGAAAATGCTGGTTGTTCCATTACAACTATATCAGGTGATTTTGCTTCATCTACTTGAACTTCTTTTGGCACACTAACTTCTGAATCAACATCAAAGGTCAATGCTGGACGTTCCAACAAAAAATACTTGACTTGCTTCTTAGACACAATTTTTGATGGTCTGAGTAAAGATAAACTGTTTTGTGGATCATTTGGATCATTACTTAATTTATAAGCGTGAGTAACATATGGCTTTTGCTCTTTTTCACCGTAATTATTTAATGTAATTGTGCAAATTACAGTTCCACCATATATTTTACCAAAACTATCACTAATTCCAAAGTCTATTTCTACTTTACTGTTTTCAATATTTCGCTTGGGTAATGGTAATGGTAATGTACTAGATTGCCCACCTTTAGTGTGCACTTCTATAGAAAAGTTATGACATTCTGAATTCTTAATTAATAACTTATGCACTTTCCTATTAAATGGCTTATTCGCTTTGCATATAACTTTATTTTTAAATAACAAATACACAGATGTAATTTCAATTATATTTGATTGATTTTCCAGAGTATTAATGTTGACTTCACGGACTACAATCTCTACTAGTTTACCAGAGAATTTCTGTTTTGTCTGGCATTCTAAAGTTTGCATACGATCAAGCTCTAAATCAATGTCACTATAAACAAAAGGACTGTCTGACACATACAACCCATCTTCCCCTATTACAGATATTTTATTCAATTTTCGAGGGCTTCCAGTATTTTTAACAAGTACATTGTTCTCTTCTAATTTATTTATCACAGGATAGGCATAGCAAAGAGTTAGATCTTGCTCTGTCTTATTTTCCTCATGTTGCACATATCCTCTGATAAAGTCAATGTCCTGACTGCTCATGTTAATGTAATAATGTTAATTATCACAAAAATCAAACCACAATACAGAATACTGTTATAATTTCCTTTATTCATACATGTTCAATGTTTACATTCATGGTTGCCTAGCAAAAATTTCATTTGAATACAATGAAAAGCATAGAAATCTTAACAAATAAAATTTAAATTATTTACAGAAAATTACTTATTGAATTTCTCTTAATTAATATTATTCTTTTAAAATTGCTAATTCCAATGTTCCCAGTGAATACAAATTTCATTTTCTCATAAATATATATTCCAGAAAAACGTATCTTCAGTGTCATCTATAACAAAGTATCCAAACTATTAGGACAAATTCACATCCAGTCTATCCTGCCTCTTGTCGATATTATATAACAGGAATTTGTGTTACCAACGTCATACTACAGGTATCTTCTTATCCAAATCCCATGAGAAACACCTTGTATCCTTCGAGACCCATCGAAAAACACAATAAATAAATAAATTTCTTTTCTAAAAATATAGAATGAAAATTTATAATTAAAATATTAATATATTCATAAAATCATCAGTATATCATAAATAAATTTCTTTTCTAAAAATATAAAATGAAAATGAGGGGTTCGAGGGGTTTCTTGAGAGGCACGAAGGGGGTCTCAAGACCCCCGTACAATTTGCATGTTGCCCCTGACAGCCTGCAACCAATGTTACACAGGTGCAAGTCCATCCTGTTGACTTTAACCCCTTGCCCTACGATACTGTGTCAGACTCGTGATTAAGATTTCAAATAAACTTTGACAAACAATAACATTATTCAATTTATTCGAATGCAAATTAAATCATAATCAATAATTATACTTCAGAATACACGTTCATATAGAATAAGATTAGAATTTTCTCTGATTTACAATAAATTATTAATAACAAAAGAGTTAGAACAATCATAGTTAAAAAAAGATTGTAGGACATTTGTAATGAAGGAAAAAGAGTGGAAGAACAAGTCTGTAGTAGGAAAAAAAAATCGCCCGAACAGGGACTCGAACCCTGGACCCTTAGATTAAAAGTCTAATGCTCTACCGACTGAGCTATCCAGGCGAGTTGAAAGTCTATGAATTTTATTTGGTAGTATTTTTTTTGTATTACTATCCACATTAATATTTGTATTAAATATTGCTTTTATATGCTTTTATAAAGCACTTTAAAGGCTATTATATGTCATATTTAAGAAATAATTTAATGATCTCTTAAAAGGTAATATTTAGGGCAGTATTTAACGTACACCAGATGTATATGACAAAGTGTGCTTTAAGTTTGCTATGCAATGATAATGAACTCCTCGAAATCTAAGTGCAGCTTTAAGTATTATAAATAATGAAAAAGGCGATTTATCGTTTATATTTATTTAAGTTTCACATTAGCTGAGGCTACCATTAAATGTTAAATAGCAGTCAACAACCAAAATCAATTGTCTCTTAACCTCATCTTTGCTTAACGAGAATGTAACAATATTTTAATATACAAGAAAGATTCGTAATAAAAAATATAGTAAAATTATTGAAATAATTCCTTATTCAAGTTTCAAATTGTTTTATAAGAAGACAATGGATGTTGCTACTCCAACTCCTCAGGATCTACAAAGAAAATTATACTTCTTGGTAGAACAACTTCAGCATATGGCTGGTGAACTCCCTACGAAATATCAAATGAGACTTCCTTATGAATTATTGTCTGGCTTAGCTAATTCTCTATTGAACGACACAATATTTGAGATTGTTAAGGGATTAATGGAAATCCAACATGTTACGGAGAAACATCTTTTTCAACAACGTCTTCAATTGCTGAATCAACAGAAGATTGAAATGCAAGAAACATTAACATCTACGTTCACAGATGAGGAAAGGGTGACAATAAAAGCAGCATTACATAAAAAGCACAAAGAAGAATTAAAGCAACTGGATATGAAGTTGGTTCTACAATTGGATCAGAAAGTAGCAGATCAACAAAGTATTTTAGAGAAGGCTGGTGTACCAGGATTTTATGTTACAAATAATCCTACTGAAATTCAAGTACAAATGAGATTATGCGATTTTATAATCAGACTCAGTAAAATGGAAGTTCCAAGTTGACGCAATGATAATGTATAAAGAAGCTACAAATGAATTTAACAGTATTCTTCAATAAACATATAAGTTATATAATTCATTATATCTATTTATTAAATTACCATAAATTTTACATCTGATAATATGGTTTTTACCTTTATACAAATAACATTTCTTTCATAATCTAGTGAGAAAAATAACTCATTTGTTTCCCTTTAAGATTAACAAAGTCAGAGTTCTGGCAATAATGAATTCATAGAAAATATAGGTTTTTTATTAATCACAACACATTATATTGTATTAATTATTTACATTTTTTATGTATACGAAAAACAGTACTGTGCAATACAAAATACAAGATCATTCTTCGTGAAACTGATATACTTTTTCAAAGTAAGCTTTTACTAGATTACACTGCAGTACGTGAAAAAAATAAATGTTATATTGTATTTACAGTACTATCTTTATTATAACAAAACATCTATAAAAGGAACTATTATTATTTTCAATGGTCAACGTTATTCCGACTTAGGAATTCGTTCATTTATTCATATATATTAAATAAAAAAAAAAATTGTTTTATCAATGAAATTTTAATTAAAATTTGTCTTTAAAAATAGATTAAATAAGTTTAATCAATGAAATTTACAGTTAACCTTCAACACTGTACTATTCTGAATAGTACGTGTTTTAACATACTCTGAAGGCCAACAAAACCATATGGACTTAAACGTTGTTAACTCAGCTTCTAGGCAGTATGGTTATCACTTTTACCCAGAAGCGGCGCAGCTCGCGAAGTTGGTATATTAAGATTTGCTGAGTTGTCGGAATCAAGAGCTTCGGATTCCTGCGCTTCTGTGAAACATACGTGGTACACGTCTGCGAAAGTAGAGGCAAAATGAACTTCGAGACCATCCGTAATATATTTTGGTAAATCATTGAAATCCTTCTTATTTTCCTCTGGCAGGATCACGCAATTTACACCGACTCGTTTTGCCTTTGGAAATGCACAATATAAATTAATGTGAATATCATCTCACATATAAAATAAAAATTGACATGTTAACACGTTCACTATCAGCACTTATTTCAGTGACAGTCTTCCTCAATTATATTTCCTTCAATCCAAGAAGTCTTTAACAATACTATAGGATTCATTTCATTTTCATGATGTAAAATATAGGATTACAGCAATCACAAGTATATGATGCTGGTAGCAAACATATTAATCTTGTCACGAATCATTTATACTTACAGCAATCGTTTTCTCCTTAATACCACCAACAGGTAGAACCCTGCCCATGAGACTGAGTTCACCAGTCATGGCAATGTTTTGTCGGATCGGTTTATTTTTAGCAAGCGATATGAACGCTATCGCAATAGTTATACCAGCACTAGGACCATCCTTCGGCGTGGCACCTTCAGGCACGTGCAAATGTAAATGAGAATCATAAAGGAAAGTGTTACCGGGATCTACTTCGTTCAAAAATCTCCTTGCAACTGTCATTGCTATCTGAATGGACTCTTTCATCACATCACCCAAATGTCCAGTGGCCTCGAAAGTGCCTTCTGACTTCTTCAGACTAGGTTTTCTGATTGTTGTTTCAATGAACAGGGTGGAACCACCCATCGCTGTCCATGCTAGACCCATCACAACCCCAGGAGGAGTCACTTCGTACATTCTGTCATGAGTGAACACAGGTTTCCCTACGAAGTCATGCAAGTTCTCTGCGGTTACATCAATCTTCTCTGCTTCTTTCTTAACCACTTTAAATGCCACCTTTCGATGGACCTTCTCTATGTGTTTCTGCAAGTTTCTGACACCTGATTCCCGACAGTAGAATTTAATTAATGAATTGAGGGCACTGTCGTCGATAGTAATTTGGGTGTTAGAGAGGCCAGAATTGTTCATGGATTGCGGCACTAAATACTGCTTGGCAATCGCGAGCTTCTCTTCTGCGACATAACCCGACATGTCTATCATTTCCATACGATCTCTGAGAGGTTCTGGGATCGTGTCAACTATATTCGCTGTACAAATGAAGAGAACTTTAGAAAGATCAACGGACACGTCCAGATAGTGGTCCAAGAAGTTCGCATTTTGTTCTGGGTCTAACATTTCAAGGAGGGCTGACGCAGGATCGCCTTGATGACCTCTGAAATATAGTATTTCATGTGTTTATCAATTTTGTAGCAATTTGTAATACAGATGCCAGCGATCACTCACTTTCCTATTTTATCCACTTCGTCTATAAGAACCAATGGATTCTCAGTTTTAGTTTTCTTCAGGCACTGGATAATTTTGCCAGGCATTGCTCCAACATACGTTCGCCTATGTCCTTTGATTTCTGCAACATCTGTCATTCCACCGACGCTAAATCTAAAGTACTCTCTATTAAGCGCACGAGAAATCGATTTGGCTATTGATGTTTTCCCGACACCCGGTGGCCCGTGGAAACATAATATTTTCCCTTGCGTGGAACCTTTTAACTGACTAACCGCAATAAATTCTGTAAAGAAATAATGTGGGTGAATAAGGATCATCGACAGTCGCAATATTCAAGTGTTCAATTACCCAAAATTCGTTTCTTTATATCTTCCATTCCATAGTGATCTTTATCTAATATCTCAATTGCTTGTTGAAGATTTAAATTTTCTGGACTAGTCACACCCCATGGCATGGATGTGAGCCAATCTAAATAATTTCTTGTAACACTGAAAATAAAATGATTATATGTAAGATCTTTTATTGTACAAATATAAATACAATCCCCCTTACTTGAATTCGCTACTATGACTCTCTAAGAAATTTAATTTATTTAATTCTTCTTCTAGTACATCCATCACTGCTTTTGGAACCGTTTTCGACCTTATTCGTTCCCTATACTTTTCGGCTATCGCGTCTTTGTCATCTTTCTCTAATCCCAATTCCTTTTTGATTACTTTTAATTGTTCATGAAGAATATATTTCCTGTGCTGCTGTTTGACTTTTTCTTCTACTTCTCTACCAATCTTTTGTTGCAATTTACTCAATTCGTATTCTTTCTTCAATAGTGCAAGTGATAATCTTAATCTTTTTGAGATCTGAAAGTGATGTTAAGCTTGTGATTGTAAAGAGATTAATGTTTTACTAATACTTTTAAAATAGTTTACTTACATCCATTTCTTCTAACACTTCTTGCAGTTCCTGTGCTTCTGCTCCAGTTAAAGCTGCACCTAGATCACTCAAATAGACTGGATTGTCTACAACCCTTTGACCTTGATGTAGCATTTGTTGCAGAGATTCACGGTACAATGGATTCATACTTATTATGTCTCGAATTGTTTTAATTAATTCTTGTGTTAGAGCCTGTATGGTAAATTTTCTTTAATCTTTTGAATACTTGTTATGAGCAAGGTACTTATATTCAGAGAATCAGATTAATATTAATTTTATACAGATAAACGAAATATTAATGATTATTTATTAGTGATGTTTACCTTAATTTCTTCGGTTTGTCTAAATTTCTCATGTGTAACATTTACTACTTCTACCATTAACAATGGTTGTGTACTAGTAGTTTCAGTCTGAGTACTATCAGGTTCTGCTGAATCAAGTTTTTCTTCTGTGCTCTCTGGTGGATTTACCACTTCTTTGTTGTCAGGTGTGCTTGTTTCTTCAATCTTTTTAGCTTTCTCGGCTTCTGATATTTTAGTTTCAGATTTGTTGCGTAATAATGATCTACGACTTGGTTTGCTTGTGGTTACAGTATCGTCTACAGGGACGTGAATTGTTGTATTTAGTAGTGGAAACGTCAGTTTCATGTCTGTGTATCAGTATAGTATTTATGTACAAAATATTTGTACAATTACATCGACAAATTATTTATGACATGTTAACTTTATAATAAAACAATTTTCTTTCAAAACAAAAGAAATTAGATCTTCCTAAGACAATATGTATTTAAAGCTTTCATGAATAAGTATAAAGATAAATACATATGTCTAATAAAAGTATATTTTCAATACTTACGGTGTGTAGATTTCTGTGTAAGATCTTCCAAAATTTGACCAACAATTTTAATCCTCCTATGTGCCATTACAACTAATCTTAACCGATTCCCTAAATCTTGTACTTCATGTATTTGTGCAAATGTGCCAACAGGGTAAATATCATTCAAATTTTGTACAACTTCAGCTTCATTACTATTAAAGCATTCATATTCAGAAATAAGATTATGAAGTATCATTCTTAGACACACAGAAATTCAAGCTCAACTTACTCTTCTGCCTTCTTCAAGAAGACACCGATATAAGGCTGATTCAATTTAACTTTCCTGCGTATTAAATCCATGAGAACTGGGTTGCTAATCTCAATAAGTTTTATAAATCTGGGAAACACCGGATTCCTATTAACAGCTATAACGGGCACATGAGGCCATACCTCTGGAACAACAACAGTAGCCGGTAATGAAGTTGGATCCTCAAGGGGATCTCCATCATTTTCACTGCAAATTAAAATATCTAATATGTACAACTTAACACAAACGTACAAGTAAAAGAAACTTATAATTATTTAAAAATGCTCATCCACGTGCATTTGAATGATCTACAGAGGATTGTGTCTCATTCATAAGAAAAATGAAGCACTCACCTTGGAGGTTCCCTATCACTAAATTTTTTAGTAGCGAATGATCTTATGGGAATGACAGCAGCAGTGTGACGACGACCATGTGTGCTTTTAGTAAGCGATCCAAGACACTCGGTAATATCAGTTCTTCGGCATTGCGATGGTCGTATAGAAGTCGATGATTCTTGAAAGTCCAAACGTTGATTTCTGCAGAAGGATCGAACAATCGTCACACGGTGCCGAAAAACAGGCAACATCTTGAAATTAATCGCTGTCACGAAACGCATCATTTTCAAATTTTGCAAACGATTTACATTAAACGTTATTCCCTCGTTCGATCTGATTAAAATTCACGTATGGTTAGGATCCTAGAACCGGCACTCTCAGAATCGGTTAAAACTTCTCTAACCTAGAAAGAGCTTTTCGCAACTCGATCAACTGTTGACGCGCACATTACAGGGGAAAATCGTAATTGATAATTCAGCGTATGACAATGTTATAAACCCATATTTTTCGCTGTTGTACGTTACTAAATTTTAATAAAACATCAGTATGGTTAAAAAAAAAAACGTTGATATTCGTTTGTTGTTCAACGTGATCAACAATGCATGGCTCTCTTCAATCTTTTACGCGAGAAAGTTGCAATATTTACTCGGGAAAGATCAGACTTTGAAAATGTTATATTAAATGGTGAACTTCGAAAGGAAACATATAAAATAACATTTCGAATTTAATATCAATGTTTCTGAGACGTTTATATATCTGTAAAATATTTATTGAAGAAGCATTAGATTTAGAATACTTGTAACGGAAAATTGTATAGTAGGTTTGAAAAAAGAATTTAACTTTTGATGTTTTTTTAGACTGTTTTATATGAAATAATAAATTTGTTACGTGAAATACGTATTTGTTTTATTGGTGCTATACATGAGGCATAGTATAGCCGTGAATAATGAAAAAACAAAGAATATTCATGAATCATTCGAGATCATTTTTGCGAGATTTAAACAATAGCAAAAGCGCTCGAAGTTACTCCGATGAAAACTTTATAAATGGTGGACAGAATCAAACATTAGAATTGCAGAAATTAAGTTCAAGTACACTTCGTATATGTCATCACATTAAAATGCATTAAATATGAAATAACAATTGTATTAACAATCAGTATATTCGCTTCTAGGTATAATATGTTCTGCCAATGTTACTAGACAAAATTTTAATGATAAATCAAATGCCTCCGGCACATCGAATTGTGATGACGATAATAACAATATCGATGACGACAATGACGACGAATTTTTTAAACAAATAAAGCTTGACATTGATAGGAATCTTTTATTGTAAGAGCATTTTTATTGTACTATAATATTGTCGAATTTTAATAATATTTGTTGATATTCCTTTTCAAATTTAGACACTCAAAAGAAAATTATAAACCTAACAGTATTCGACAGGATATTTTTTCATTGAGAAGGAAAAGACCTATAATTGATGAGGAAACTCAGAATATAATTAAAAGATTTAGGAAAGACTCAAATATAAATGTTTCAAATTTTGTTCAAACACCAGTTGATACAAGTACCAAACATTGCAATTGTGTCATTGACAGTATTATGAGAAGCCCACACAAAGTATCAACAAACATAGATGTTACTGGAAATGTGATGAGGCAGGACAATCTGTTTACATCTAAAGTTTTAAATACACACTTGAGGTATTCTTCATAAAATATTTACCATAATGTTTATGTTCTGATTTATGTTTTTTAAATAATAAGCTTATTTATGATTGAAATGTAAACATGCATAATTTCAGAAATCCTAATAAATATGTATTCCAAATGACCTCAAGGATGAAAAAGAATAATATTTTACCATTACCTAAGGATAAAACAACTGTCCTTCATACAGAATGTGAAGAAGTTTTACAATATGAAATGATATATTTAACACCCCCAAATAATTTAAATGAAGATCAATAATATTTAATAATGTGAAATACTATAAATTTCAAATAGAAGTATTAACGGAAAAATAAACGTTAACATTATTGAAAAATAATTACTTTAATTTTACTGTTCGTTTCAACCGAATAATATTTCTTATCACTGTAATATTAAATTTATAATAATAAAATAATTAACCTTAAAACAGCATCTTTTTTAATTGTGTATATTATCTATACCTCGTCTGCGATATTATTATTCTATTTTACAAGTTTTAAATGAATGTACGTCATTGGTTGTTCAAATCTGACCGGCATATTGTATACCATAAATTTAAAACAATCACAGATTAGTAGCTGGTATTTATGATGAGTGTTTTTATGATAGCTGTTGATGAGTTCGTTAAATTGACATTAAAAGAGATATCTTCCACTTAAGGAGAGGAGATGATTTAATATTTTTCTATAATGTAATTGTCCTTTATACATAACCTAGTGTCGTATATGTGCATTAATCAATTGCATTAATTTGAAACAGAAAAAGGACCATTTTGAAAAATTTAGCAAAGATTTTCTTCACACATGAGTTTTTTAAATGTACAAACATTATCAGTAACTACAAATGTGGTCACATCATAAAGAATTATTTATTTTATCTTTAACCACGTAATGGTTGTTACTTATTACAAAGCAATGAGTGAATTTAAATTACATCATTTAGTAATTGAACTGCTTGGACTTTTGGGGTAAGTGAACATAAAATATTTATAATACATATGTAATCAATAAAGGCTAACAAAATGTTTATTGATTTGTAGGTCAACTTCTGCACCGGAGAAACATGTAGAAAGATTGCAAAAGGAAGGTATACCTACAAGTGCAAGTGCTTTAACTATTGTTGCATCACAAAGTTGCATTCGTAACTTAGCAAAAAGTTCTCCTGTCCCTGAACTGTTTCTTCAAAAATATGAAGAACTAAAAGCTAAAAAGTTGGTATTATTATATACTTTCTATGTGTTAATTCATGATGAATTGGTTCTGTTAACATTTGTATCTTTGATTTTCTCAGGATAGATTTATTAGGTTTATTTGTTCAAGTCTTGGAACTTGTAGCTGAGGATAAGGATTTGAAAAGTTATTTAGCCAAACAAGCATCTGCAGTAACTTCAAATTCTACTAAGAACACTGCCATTACCACAAAAGATTTACCACAGGTTTTATTTTCAAATTTAATACTCTTAATTTGATTGAAACAATTCAATGAAATGTATTATCAGATTAAATCTATGTATCATACGTATATAACAGAAATGGACATTCTTTTATTCATAAATTTTATCTTATTATGTTTAATACAGATTTGTAAGAATGTGATCAAAGCTGCAGTAGAAGGAGAAAAGAAGTTAACACAACAAGTAAATGTGATTGCAAAGAAAGCAGAACCATCAGCAATAAAACATTATTGGACCCATGAAAGACCACGTATAAGTTGGGATTTCTATAATGAGCCAAATGTGTCACCATGCCAGAGTAAAAAAGTTTTTTAAACTAATATCACGGTAATAATGTAACTGGTTTACTAAGTTGAAGCTTTTACAGAGGTTGTACCTGCTGTATCTCAGGAATCTATTTTACTCTGGGATATTCTAAACTGTTTAAAGGGTATAGATGGATCTTATATTGTTTCTGAACCTTTAACAAGTTCATATGCAGTAAAAACATTTAAAATATCTCCTGATGTTTGTAAGGAACACATAATCTTATTATAAATACCAACATAACAACTGTAATGTGAAATATTGTATTCCTATCTATTATTATTTATAGGTATATCTTACAAACAAATGGCACAACAAATATTACCTCTTGCCTCTCATTATTCCATGACAGCAAGGTTTGTTGAAGAGAAAGTCTTACCAGAAGATGGTCAAGTTAATCATGCTTTAAGAGGGGCTATAAAAAGTTTATTAAAAGATTATTTAGTAAGTAGTTCAAATGAATCTTCATTCAAGCAATCGACTGATGCATTGTAAAATTGTTTTTCATTCAATGTTTTTCAGTTGTTTGTTGTACAGTTGGAAATGGAACATATACGTGGGAAATTGAATTTACAAAAATTGTGGTTCTTCATTCAGCCTACCATAACTGCAATGTCTGTTCTCTTTCAAATAACATCCACAATATGTAAAGTAAGTTAGAGATCGTTGTTATTACATTTCTTGAATATTTATGATGAATCTCATTATTATACAATGTCGCTCTTTATTTTAGGCAAATGCTAAAGGTGGAAAAGTACTTAGTCTTTTGCACGAACAAGCAAATAATATTAGCGGCGAGGCAAAATTTAAAGAACTGTGTATGTTTTTGATACAAACAGCAAGTGTTCCTTACATGCAAATACTGGAAAAATGGGTATACAAAGGTGTAATATGTGATCCATACGAGGAGGTGAGGATAGTTTGTCTTATTTATTTGATCCTTATAAGACATATTAACTATTCATATATGTTATAGTTCTTTGTGGAAGATAACGAATTAATTCATAGAGAGGAATTACCAGTAGATTATTCTGCAGATTATTGGGAAAAAAGATACACTATGAGGTCAGAGAGGATTCCCACATTTCTCAATGAACAAGCACAAACTATTTTAAGAACTGGAAAGTATTTTAATGTAATTAGACAATGTGGTACGTAGTATTTTGCAAATATACGTTTTCAAATATTGTTAACAATATAATACCGTAATTTTCTTTGCTTAGGTAAGACGGTTCAATGGGGAAAACAAGAGCCTCTCCTCTATCAGCACCAAGGACAGAAATATATAGCTGCCATTGATAGAGCATATTCTGAAGCAGCAAAAACTTTATTAGAGGTTCTTATACATGAAAGTGATTTAATGGGAAGACTTCGTAGCGTGAAAAGTTATTTTCTCCTTGCCCAAGGAGACTTTGTGGTTAGTTCATTAAAAAAGATGTTTATGTCTCGCAACAATCGATGCCACATTCTGTTAATGTTATGATGTATTTATAGGTCCAATTTATGAATCTCTGCGAAGCAGAATTAAATAAGAACATGTATGATATTGTAATCCATCGTTTGGCATCTCTTCTGGAAGTAGCACTGCGTATGTCTACCGCGGATTCAGATCCGTACAAAGATGATTTAAAACCTGAACTTTTACCATACGATCTTCAATTCCAAATGTTTCGGATACTTTCTATTCAAACAAGAGAAGAGGAAGGTATGTTTCATTAAGAAATATCAATTGTTATTGAAATCAGAAAGAATTCTATACAACGAGATTTTTTGTTTGTAGAGTATTGCTATAAAAATGATAAAACTTTAACTGGTTTGGAAGCATTTGTATTTAACTATGACGTTAAATGGCCTGTTTCATTAATACTTAATAGAAAAGCGATTGCTTGTTACCAAATGCTGTTTAGACACTTATTCTACTGCAAATATATTGAAAGACGTTTATGCAGGTTGGTACGAAAGCTTTTGTTAACTAAGTTATATGACACACAACGATAAGGCATTGACTTATTTCAGGGTATGGGTCAGCAATAAAATTGCCAAAACTTTTACTCATAACGTTGCTATGTCTTATAGAAAAGCATTTTCATTGCGGCAACGCATGCTAGATTGTATTCAACATTTAGCGTACTATATGATGGTTGAAGTTATAGAACCGAATTGGCTAACATTTATAAATAAAATGAGTAAAGTATGATCATTTCTAAATTCATCCGTCTTCAAACTGAAGAGTAGATTCAAAGTTTTAAATGGTCCATCCTAGGTCAGCAACGTGGATGATGTTCTAAGCGTACATCAAGATTTGCAAGATAGTTACTTGAAAGAGTGCATGCTGACTGATCCAGATCTTCTCGCGTGCATCACGGACATATGTGCAGCCTGTATTGATTTTTGTGATTTTATGGAGGTAAGCTTTATTATTGTAACCAGTAAACGAACAGATATACACAGGTAACCGAATTTTCGTACAACTATGTAAATGATACGTATACGTACACCAAATAAGAATCAACCATTTTTTCTGAGTTGCATTCTTCGCTCCGATACAGATTCTTTCAATTGTCTATGTTATTCGTTATGATACAAAATAGATACTACAGGCGTTGTTAATAAATACACACAGGACATAGGTATAATTGAAAAGCGACATATCTGATATTATTATTAAATGTCATTGCTTTACATTAGCATAGAGCTGTCAAGAATATTAAATAATTCTGCATGACGCGTTTAATATTGAGGTCGACATATGGTACAATATTTTATATACATTGAATGTTTGTAAAAATCTCGTGATGACTGGTAGTAAATTGAACGCTAATTTTTTACTAATGTTAAGCGTATGAGCCCATACTACATTGACGCCGAATTGACTTCCATGATTGGCGCCTATCAGGAAGATGTCTATGATTTTGAGGTATACTCCTAAAGTTTTAACTCCGCTTTCATGCATTTTATGTAGCCTTAGAATCATAAAGCTTTTCTTTTCCAGTAAGGAAAAAATCAACATAGAAAGTCATGTTTACTATTCGCTAAGAATACATTTTTCAATTCGCATGGTATTTTGTTGTATATAATATTTAAATATTATCAATTCGTTAATGAAATTCATTCCTTTTCGTTAATAGTTAGAAAACAGCAGATTATATAAATGGAAGCTTTACAGCTTATATCAACTTTTTGTAATTTATTATGGAGTATGACTCTGTTACACTATTACCAATATTTACTAACTCACCATTCAATCAATAATCATGTATAACATCATCTTTATTAATATATATTTAGTAAAAACATTTTACTTATCATTGTTAACAATTTCGTTATAAACATAGAAAATTACAGGGAAATACTAGTTCTGTAATAGACTTTCTTATAGAATAAATGGCTCCTGCGCATACTATGTTCACAGTCAACAACATAATGAAGTTCTCAGATAGATTTATGTATAATAAAAACTACAATAATGTTTTACAGGAATAGTAGAGACCATATTACGAGAAATTAAATATTCTGATCCATAGAAGTATAATATCCCTTATAATCTCTTTCTTAATATTTAGCATCTAACTATACAGCATTATTTTATGTAATTCAATGTTAATGTTGCATGCAGATATTGCATTAATTATGACTACATAGTTTCTTATCCGTAAATGTGATTTAATTTATCTGTACTCGACGGTATGTTATATTTATTTGAAGTTATATGTCAACTTTTATACCTAATATCTGAACATTTTTAATACGTAGCATGATACTTGATATTATGAACTTCAATCTTTAAATATGTAATTGTACTTGTAGTGATATGTGATCTGATTTTTATATTACAGGTATGTTAGTTTCAACCCATCCGATGCATTCATTTCATAAATTTTAATCTATAATTTATACGTATATTTCAATGAAACACTTCTAATATATTTGTGTACATTACATTCATTTTCAACGGTGTATGCTTTTTAATCTTAGTTCCACAAGGGATGTAGTACATGTACAAAACAAAGTGTAAGGATAATAGGTTTATTTTTGTTTATCTCGTTAGACTGAACACGGAGACATGTCCAAAGAAAACGCGGGGAGCTTCGAGGAGACAATTGTGTCGCTGGACGATAAATTTACACAAGTATTAATGCGCCTTCTAGACAGGATCTGTGATCTAGGAAGTGATAATAACAATGAGAAGCTTTTAAACGTCTTCTGCAGGTAAGAAATGTTTAACTCTATCTATTTTTGCATTATAAAAAGTATAATTAAGAAAAGAGTTATTAATAATATTAATCTAATCAAATAATTTTTGTTATTAGGCTAGATTTCAATTTATTTTATACCGATATTTTGATACGACGTGGAAAAGAGAAAGCGACCACTCAAGAAGAAGTCTCTGGTTAACGTTTGAACATCTGTATGTGGAAAATATTTATTTATAAGTACATACACGTTTAAGTTGCAATTAAATTATGAAATTCGTTGAATGTTCATGTATGGTATGAGAACGGCCATAAATATTGATCTGAGATTGGAATGCGCGTGAGTTATACATGTAGATTAGTTTATTAACAAACCATTTATTTGTAGAACTATATAGTTGTGCGTTTCACAGATATAAAAGATTTGTATTACCCATTCGCACTATAAAAGGAACAACGTATGCGTTACTGATACTTTTATTACACACTTATAACAATTGTAGAAACCTTATTTATTACACAGTCAGACATAAAGTCAACAGTCGTACAGAAATTTATATGAAATTAAATACCACACTACTTAAAACAATATATCTCTATATATATATATATATATTATAGTAACATTGAACAATATAATTTTTCTATTTTTCTACCGTGTCAGTATTAATTCTGACAAAACTATGTATCATTGAGTACCAATGATCCTTGGAACTTGTAAAGAAATGAGAAACAAACGAGAAAATATATATATGCTTGAAAGATCTCAAATGAATTATTCAATCGTCTCTTCTAGCATTAACATTATTATTATCGAGACCCAGTTTCAGGGCGTTCAAAGTGATATCGATCAAAGCCAGCCTCTCTTTCACCCCTTCTAATTCATTGATCATCCTTTCAGTATCCGATTCCCGGCCTCTCTTTGCAAGGATCTCCTTAGCTTGCTTCATAACGTGACGGTCCATCTTGAAGACAGGAAACACTCTGTCCTTCGCCTCGCCAGCAGGTTTCTTATAATCAATATTACCAAAAGTCTCCAAACTGTCATACGGTTTCACACTCAATTTGCCATCCTTCAAGTAATCCGGGAAGATCAGGATTTTATCAGCAAGGAAGGTCAGAGGCCTACAGGACCAGCCACGCGAGAAGCCATGGCAGAGCAAGCAATGGGGCCCGTGCAGAAGCGGAGCGCTGATCGCCATGATCTCCACGTACGACACCAATCTTATCCTAGAGATCAGCCCGACCAGTTCCGCCTTGTCGAGGATCTCTGCGGTGTCGCTCACCGCTAAACCGTTCAGCAGATTGAATAACACTATGGCGATGAAAAAAACGAACGACACAAAGACCAGGTGGCTCATAACCGGATGGGACACGAACGGTATCTCGTTCGCCTCGAATTCCCCCGTGAGCATGATGATGGTTTTGAACAAGGAGTTCCCAGGGTCCAGGAAGTTCTCGTTGTCCTTGAAGAGGACGAAGAAGGCGTTCGCGAACGCGAGGATCAGGAACGTGTAGAGGAACAGGAAACGCAGGAAATTCACCGACACCGTCTTGAACATCTCGATGTCGGTGGACATCCGTGGGTGCTGGCCGATCAGGATCACCAGTTCCCAAGCGGACAGCAGCACCACCACAGCGGCGACATTGCTGTCTGCTCCATAGAGTGCAGAGAAGCCAAGTATCAGCAACGTTACTTCCAACCAGTTCTCGCAATTGGACACATAGTAGCAGGGCGACGAGACTAGCTGAAGAAACTCTCTGATCCCTAGGAACACCAGAGCGATGCTTGCTAGAATCCTTAAGACGCCAATGGTACCTGACTCCATTACCATTTCTGCCTCGCTGGAGTTGGATGCATTCATGTTGTTGATTGGGTTGTACGTCGCCAACAGGATGTAGCTGTTCAGTAGACAGTAGAGGAGCAAGTAGAAGGCGAAGTTCAGGAAAAGGATGTGCCTTATCCTGCGCCACTTCATGTACAGGAATGAGGAGAGAAGAGGATGCTTCAGCAAATGCTTCATGTCGGTGCTGTTCGCTATGTACTGGAAGATGTCCATTTCACGTTTCTGCTGATTAATGGACGCTTGCCCCTCCATGTGAGGCGTGTCGTGAGGCATCAGGCATTTGTAGTCGAACTCGATTATGTACTCGTTCGTCCGCTCTTTCCTGGCTTGTATACAGTCGTCGAAGTAGCCGGACAATGTTGACACGGATATGTCGGCGACCGGCGGCACGCCGAACGTGTTCATGTGGCCGATGTAGCTTCCTTTTTCCAGCAGCATCGTCACTGCTTCGCGGCAGTCCGCTCTGGCTGCGTAATGCAGCGGCGTGTTCCCCTTGTCTGTGGAAGGTACTCGTTTTTAGTATTGTCTCACCTGTGAACCGAGGCGTGTTTGGCTGAGGGGTAGAGTACAAGAAATGTGGATCTTTATGGAAGCTCAAATTTTTGAGAATGTAATTAAGGAAATGGAACTGTAAAAAGTAGAACTATGGAGACTGTGTTTTCCTCATGAAAAACCACTTAGGAACAGTATGAAATATTCAAAGTGGTTTTTCATCATGTTTTCCTAATGAAAATCCACTTTGAATATTTTATACTGTTCCTATCATGTTGTACAACTTTGCACTCTCAAGTTTCCCAAAACCATAAAACCCTACAATCCAATGATTAGACTGTAATCTTCACTTATCAATTATTCAACAGAATTCTCTTTGACCTATCCATTAATAGTTCCACCACCAACAAACTCAAAGAGAAGCCCCAGTAAACCTTCGACAAACAATCCACAAAACCCTCAGCCCAAACAGCTATCATAGAAATACTCCATTCACTCACTGTCAGTGCACCTAACATCCACCTCCTCTCTTTCCAGAATCAACCTGAGGCACTCCAAGCGATCAGCCGTGCCCTCCGAGCCTTTCCCAGGGATGCCCAGCTCCACGCAGGCGTCCATCAGCAACTTGTTCCCCACCTGGACGTCCGTGCTCAATATCCTCCTGAGAACATCCGGTAAGCCCTTCTGCACTGCCAGTTTAGCAGCCTCCGGTAGATTACACTCAGCCTCTCTGACTCTTTTCAGCAACGCTGAGACCGCGTCCTTAAAGTCCCGTCGTACAGCCATCTCCATCAGGTCCTCAGCCACGTTGTTCACCACATCATCCTCGACGACTTCCAAGCAGTTCAAGAAATTCGTCTCATCATTTACATTTAAGTAATACTTGAGATCATGAACATTGGCGCCGTTGTTCTGAACCGGAGGTGGTAGCCGCAGGTCAGGCATTGTCTTAGCCAGGACGTCCCTGGTGCTTTGGTTCTTGTGATCCTTGTACCTATCAAAGTCCAGGACGTGCGTCGACTTGTCAAAAATCAGCTGCACCATGTCCGTCTGACCGTTCATGGCCGCCATGTGAATAGCAGTCCAGCCTTTGTTGTTGGGGATGTTGGGACTGGCGCCCTTCTCCAGGAGCAGCTGCGCGCAGGCCAGGTCATTCTTCTTCACCGCCATGTGCAGAGCAGTCCGCTGACCCGCCTCCAAGTTCGGATTGATCCTGGGGTCCTTCAGGAGCACCTGGAGAACGTCCTGGTAGCCCTTCTCCGTGGCGAAGTGGATCGGACCACGGTTGTGAACCTTGTTGACCCTGTTCACGTTGGCTCCCTTGTCCAGGAGGAGCTGCACGAACGCGGGCAGTCCCTTCCTGCAGGCAATGTCCAGGCAAGTTTCTTCTGACTGGTTCGGATAGACATGGTTCACGTCGATGACCGTTGGATCCTTCTTGTAGCTCTGCTCCAGCAGGCTTCTGAAGAGCTTGATGTCCTCCGAGCACAGACTGCCCAGCAGCTGTTTATAGAGGACGCCGGACTTCATTGGGGAATTGTAATCGTGCAACAGGTGCATCTGCAGGGAGTCGTCCTCGGGAACCATTGCTGTAACTGGAAAGCGATATGGGTCATTCGAGCCAGCCCAGTTTCACGGTCATTTGACACTGGGGCTACCAGTCGACTCTTTGAAGTTTCCTTGTGGAGACCATAAGTGTGTGTTTGCTGGGATTATTGTCGACTTGTATTTCAGTTTAGGTGTTACTTCATTAGATTCTTTAACTCTTTGCAGTAGAGAATATCTTTGTCAATATTCATTATCTTCTGATGAAATGTTAATGATACTTATTATGAGGAATTTAAAATGCGAATGTCTCCGAGGGTTGAAGTGCATAATAATTTCAAAAAGTCAATTGACAATATTTCAGAGTCGATTAAGCTATATAGAATTAAATTCATGACAATGCTAATAAATTTCAATTTTATTAAATGTCATTTTGCATCACAATGAAAATGAATGCTACAGCATTATTACTCTTGATCCTGGTTTCCAAAAACACTTAGAAACCATTTGAATATCAAAGAGTACGTTTAGCATTCTTTATAATACATTTTATAACTCAACTTCAATTATTCTAATTATTATTCAATTTCTAAAAATTCTTGCAGAAGCGAGGTGCGACAGTTTCCTACTCGGAGAGCGACTGTATTGTACAATTCATTGTCAAGTCGGAGCAGCTCAACTAAGAGGCAACCCAACACTGCGTGGGCGTACCAGAGTCACACTTCTGATGTCACCAACGTTATAATTCGTTGTTCCGGATTGCCTTGTCTGCAAACGGAGAAGAGAATTTCGAGAACTATTTTAATATCCTGCTTTTCAAATGGAGAACAAAGCTATTCAACGAAATCGAAGATCTCCCGGCCGCGGGAGTCAACGATCATCGAAATGTTTGTCATGCAAAGTGACGGAGACACGGTCCGGATGCGTTTCCTGTCGTTAGCAGTGGCACAAGCCCGGGCAAACGTGAAAACGCGGACAGGAATCCCGCTAGAAGCCACCGTACTATGACACCCGTGCCGCCGCGGAATTTTTTATCGGCCGCGGAATATCAGATTGCTATTGTAACACGATGAATGAATTGAATCACCGCCGAATCGATCCGTGAAACTCGAGATCCGAGCGGATAACTGTTGGAATGTTAATTTATGCTAAGCAGCGTTATCCGTCGTCTGATAATATCTGTCAAGAGAAAGAGGAGCAATCGCATTGAAATGTTAAATAATCGAGGCAACGTGGATCATGGATTCCTGGATCACTTTAATTATTAACAAATTACAACGTGTGTACTTGGTAGGTAAAGCTGTTATGTTCAATGTTAATTTATTGGAAATATGTGAGAGTATATGTGGAGATAAACTCTCTTATAATAGATCTATGTTGTAGATTCCTGGATCTTTAATTATTAACAAATTACAACGTGTATACTTCACAAGATAGGTAAAGCTGTTGACATGTTTAATGTTAATTTATTGGAAATATGTGAGAGTATATATAGAGATAAACTCTCTTGTAATAGATCTATGTTGTAGATTCGTGGATCGTTAGACGTTTATTATAGATATGTTAGAAAGACTAAATGTAGAAAACGATAGCAGTGGTAGTGATATCGTCCAATCAACAAGGCGACGAAGAAATCGCATAGATAGCGATAGCGATGAAAGTGATACGTAACGGTTTATTACACAGTACAAAATTATAAGGAATAAAATATTGATTTTTTTGCAAATATACTTGATGTCAACCAATTCAAGTCCAATATCATTATAATACGTTACTTCCAAAACTATACTAAATTCCAATCCGGTCCAGAATGGTTCGGAGTGCAACGGGTTAATTATTAACAAATTACTACTGTGCAAGTGTGTACTTCACTTGATAGGTAAAGAAAGGTATCGACACATTTGATATTAATCTATTGGAAATATGTGTGAGAGTATACATGAGACAAGACACTCTTGAAATATTTCAAGTTGGCTGTATTTTTCAACTTAGTTTTAATTTTCAGGGATCAAGCGAATAATATCGGAGCGCAAAGGTCACGGATCAATAGTAAATATTTGGTCCTACCATCGAGCACTTTCTTCGTCGAAGATGGAACGACAACTTGGAACCTACAACTCTCACCACTCCGTTTAGCATCGAGTAGACTGAGCCACTCTGCTGACCAGTTCTCCGCGTCGTGATGTCAGCGTGGGAAGAGAGGGGAACGATTAAGTGTCGGACAGCATTCGGTACACTTCACCGCTTCGACAGTGTGTCTGAACACGTTAATTCAACTACACATCATCGTTCTGGCTACTGGATGACTGGGCTTCGGTACTCGCAATTGTTAATTGGAAGATCATTACACTTTTTCCTTCTGAATGAAATTTTTGTAACATTGCTTCATTTCAGGTCATTCAATTTAACATTGAATTGGAGTTAAATGAAATTTCAGTTGAGGATAACTGGGTTCTGGTACCTGCAATTGTTAATTGGAAGCTCATTACACTTTTTCCTTCTGAATGAAATTTTTGTAACATTGCTTCATTTCAGGTCATTCAATTTAACATTGAATTGAAATTAAATGAAATTTCAGTTGACATTGAAAGATCTACAATGGTATATAATTTTATGGTAGTCAGGAATTGAAGATTTTAGTTCTCATTGGAGTTTAGTATATTCATGTTACTGGGTAGCTTTGTGATCCCATTTTAAGTTATCAGAATTTTATTGAAATACAGAAAATTACATAAATAGAGGTTTATGATCCTCTATAATATAATACATTAGAGCTCCAACCTTTGACTCTTTTAATGAGAACTCTGAAATTTCAAATTTCAAATCTCAAATTCCAATGATACAGAATTATAACAGAGTTAAGCAATGAGAGAACATTAAACAGCTGCCTTAACTGTCAGCAATTGACTTCGCTAATGTTCAATACCGTTAATAACTGAGTGCAGAATTTCTCTGTGCCTAGGCAGTCGAAGGCGGAAGTAGGTCTTGCACTCGCATTTACGTCACCGCCGTCGAACGATAACGTGAGCCCCTAATTTTAGCTGGCTCTTTCTCCGGGCGCAGGACACAGCAAGGTCGAGACTCGAGTGTCGAGGATCGCGACCAAGAACGTTAGGGTGCGTGGGTTGCGAAATCAAAGAACCCAATAAGGGAGCCAAGGTGATACGTTTGCGATACCATCACCGGTGTCTTTACCGTACGCAGGCTTCTCTTCTTCACATCAATGATGATCTTTATTTTGATTATATAGATTGTAACACTTGAGTAAAATATTTGTATATGTTTCAGGTGCTGACAGTTTATCTTAGTCACCAGTGATCTCTATGAGTCTCTTTGGATGTAGAAAGAAGAAATATAGGAAGCAGTCTATATAGTAATCTGATAGCATTAGGTGTGCCAAATGAATGAAATGTACTTATCTTAGTACATCTAAGTACATAAATTATCTATTACACTTTTGTATGTCCAATATTGCCTCTACATCTCATTTTGGTACATCTAAGTACACAAATTATACTTTTGTCCATCTAATGTTGCCTCTACATCTTATTTTGGTAGATCTTATTTTGGTACACCTAAGATGCATGTACGCAGAGGCAACATTAGACGTACAAAAGTATAATAGATCATTTATGGGAGTAATGGGATTGATTGAACGTGCAAGGATAATTGTAAGTGGCGCATGCGTTCGGTATCCTGAATCACAGCAGAGATCAAGCGACGTAGTGGGGACCGAGACGCACATGCCGTGATACCGCGACGCTTGATCTTCAGTCAGGAACGCGTCTCTGGTGCAGGTAGATCGACGACTGATCCGTGCTTCCGTGGTTCGTTCGCCAATCGATTAATCTGTGATTCAATCAGTTGCCTTGCTGCTCCTTCGCACAATCCTTGCGACGTCTGAAGGAACATCGCTGCGACAGAACGTAGGTGATTTGAATCTGCTATCAATTGCAAATCCGATCGTTCCTAGAAATACTTCTTAGATGGTACAACCGTATAATAAGTAGATCATGAATACGCAAGTTGATATGTTTAGTATATTAATTCAATTAAATTCAGAATATAAAAATAAGCTACAAGTTCCATATCAATGTACATATCAAAACTTTATTTTCTTAATATTAAATTTAGATTCTTTTTTGTTCTAGATTCTCTCTTAATTCTAAATTATATTTTGCAATTCTTCACTCTTGATTTATCTATATTTATACATAGCTAATATTGCTGGTTTAAGTGTTCAGTTTCAGCTACTATTAGCTATGTATAAATATTGATAAGTCAAGAGTGAAGAATTACAAAATTAATTTTAGATTCTTTTTTATTCTAGATTCTCTCTTAATTCTCAATTATATTTTGCAATTCTTCACTCTTGATTTATCAATATTTATACATAGCTAACAGCAGCGCACTTTAATCAAATTCCATTTGAAACTGAACACTGAAACCAGCAATATTCAGTAAGTTTCCAGAAATTAGATGAACCATGAATTTTATCATATAATCTTCCCGGAAGAAATATGAAAATACGTAAATTCATAAATGATCTATTATTAGAAACGTTTCATTCTTCATTAGTTCATTTAAATCGATAATTGTCATGATTAATATATTGTAAACGACTCGAATCTACAACGAAGTCGGAATTTCAATGTGAAACGTTGTTGTTAAACAATGCTGAAACGCGTGAAATTTCGTTGAAAGTTTGATATTCGCAACGTGCCGCCGTCAAGGATATTTCGGATCAATTACAGCTGTACAGTAAGAAACGGCGATGAGTAATTCTGAGTAATGGAGCAGGCCGTAAACAAATATTATGTCACCGCGGTTTGTCCGCGGATCTCAGCGAGATCGGAAAGACATAAATGGCAATTTATCTGTCTATTGCTATTATTGTTCGTAATAATTCGATGACTCACGTCGCCGTCAAAGGAGCATTGCGAATATTTCGATAATGCGCCACATCGTCAACATTTGTTTTTCAACTGATAACGCAGGCAGAATGGTCTCTGTAAACTCGTCGCCTTACAAAAACGCGTGAGACTTGCGGTGAACGTTTCAAATAGAATTTAACAAAGATAAATATTACTCAATTGGTTTGAATTCAAAGGAAATATTATTCTGTTAAAAATTCTACATTCTACGTTTGTTTTACAATATAGTGATTGATAACAGAAGAATAATATTTCATTTGAATTCAAAGGAATTGAGTATTATTGATGTTTGTCAATTTCTATTAATTATTTATTGAAAAAGGAGAAGAATTCTATATATATTTTACGTTTGTTTTATAATATAATGATTGATCTCTTTCTTCAATAAATAATTACTGACAAAGTCGTATCGATCACAGTTGAAAAATAAATCATAGCAGCAAGGCCACGAAAATTTAATATTTTATGAACTGTATTGATTCTCTTCATAAAATATTAAGTTATATTCAAGTTTTTAGTAATCTTTACATATTCTGATATTGTTTCTTTGTTTTCGGTGCTTTGTAACATATTCCGCTATTCTTGACCATGTGCCCCTTAAAAATGTTTTCTTATAGAAATTGGCGTGCACCGTATATGGTACACGTGTCATCGAACGTGTCAAAATTGCGATAATCTCAGTTATAAACCGTTTTTTTTACGGACTCTTCCGTTGACGTTGTCCAAGTCTCTTATTAAACTAGAAATACCGTGCCGAGGCTGAAGCAACAGTATACGCTAGAAATGCACGGAAGCAATCCGATCATTACGAGTGTAAATGATACGAACAGAACAGGTTTTTTCTATAAAATCAAATAATAATTACTAGAACGGGTTTTTAAGTAAATTCGAATGTTTAAGAATATACTGAAAAGAAATAAATAGATGTAATTAGACATATAATAGGTTTTTACTATAAAATTAAATGGTAATTACTAGAACGGGTTTTTAAGTAAATTCAAATGTTTAAGAATATACTGAAAAGAAATAGATAGAATACTATACAAAACATTGCATTTTAAATATTTTATATATTTTATATATTTTCGGTCGCACATTTATCACCGATACCAACACTCAAACAACCGGTTCTAAAATTCGATTTCTATCTATCAAGCATATCAATTACTATACTGTTTAATTAATCAGTTTCTCAATTTTGTCCCCTTGCGTCTCTTGCCAGTTACTAAAATTTATCATCAAACTTTCGTATCGTCATCTTATAGCCGTTTGATCACGGTAGAAATAAGTAAATACGAAGAATCTGTACGGTCAGCGTTAATTAACGCAAAAAAACGCGAGGAAAAGTTGAAACGCGGGCAACTTACGTATCGGTGGATCACAGAGAATGTTTTGCTATCGCTTAGAGTCAATCAAATCATTTGATCAATCTCGCCCGATATGGCGAAACAAGAAGGTTTCCCGATCGAAGCAATTAACGCGTTATACGCCGGCCATTTTGCTCGTTTCAACTAATACGAATTTCCAATCGACTCGTTTATTTATTCATTATTCGACAATGTTTCCCAGATATTTCTTTATAAATAGAAACATGTTCAATTGTACGTAAGTGGAATCAAACTCTTAGCTTCAACTTAAAATGTTCATCGAATCAATTGCATTTATCTACTGCCATTCAATCATGTACGAAATGTCATTAACGTTTCTTCTTATAAGAAATCCTAAGAGCGCAGATAATTGTGATTTCAACTGATTTGTGATTCAGTTCTCGCAATTATCAGTACAATTGCAATCGGTCTAGTTTGTCGTTGTTAATTCACTGGAAAACAGGAGAATTCTGGGAACATTCTACGTATGTTTTCCTTGCGATATAGTCATTGATAACTGGAAAATAATAGTTGTCTAATAACAATAACGATACTAACAGAAGTTTCACTTGAATTCGAAGGAAGTAATATTTATAACTTGAATATTTATTATTTTATTGAAAAAACCTATATAGTTCATAAATAAAATATGAACGAAGGTTCCATGGAACAGAACGCGTTAACGCGTTGAACGCCACGACCCCGTGACCCCAACAAAATCGAATTACTATAGTCTACTCAACGAAACGATGATTATTTGACAACATTTATACATTATAAACAATGCTAATTAATGTGGTGACATTCAGCTAGACGAACCTGCAACAATAACAATGCAATTCAATGAAATGATTAACCCTTTGCACTCCGTAGGCGCCTCTCAGTCGCCAATTGATTATGCAGAGCAAAATTATAGAGTTCGACATTTAATATTAAACTTTGTACAACGCATCGAGACGTAAAATATTAAAATAAAACAGCCTCTGTCTTTAATTTATGTACGATTTCTCGTTAAATCAGTTTGAAAGACGTTGGTATTTCATTAAAAAATCTCGAGTATTTCTAACGAGAAACTTCTGAAGAGAATAAGGAATTCGATTTTGTAAATTTTACTTTGGATTTGCGTTATACTTATCTAAAATGTTACACGAACGTAGGAGCAATTAAACGATAGACTAAAAATCCATTATCACGGTGCCGGCGCTCAATGCGCTAGCCGCCTGACTTCCATTCGAACGCAGAAAGCGAGTATCGAGCTCGCTTTATTCATTTGACTCTTATTACGAGCGGTGTCGTTTTCTAATTTCTACTTTTCACTGCGACGACCGAGAGATAACCGGGTTCGGCGATTATAGCTTTCACCCTGTGGGACTCTAGATCCCTGGGATCCGTTCGCGAGAAAGAGATTCAGTTTCCTCGAGAAGAATCGCTGGAAAAACGGCGTGTCCTCTTAAAAGGCGAACATTTTGTCTTCCACGAATCATCCACGTTTGCTCGACCCGTTGATCTCGTTTTGGTCATGCCGTGTGTCTCGCGTCTGCCTCTATTACGATCGTTCGACGCCGTATTCGGTAAATGAATGATTTTCACGTATGCAAATCGGGAGTCGCACGATCGCCGGCCATTGTTCCAGCCGGAAAGGCAGTTTCTTTCGTAATTACTCCCGAGTTGTGTTGTGCAGAGAAAACTGGGGCTCCGGAGTAGTCGAAATTAGCGAATAGTGGACCGGATGATTGTTTTCGGTTCGTACTGGATGATTGATCGTTGAGTTTGAATGTGAAGTGTGAATGTGTTCTTTAGATGGAAAGTATAAGTAACTTTGTTTGGACAAAGGAGATGAAGAGTAGTTATAATCATGGTTTAACGTTATAAAAGTTATAAAGTTGTAAAGTTATAAGAGATCAGCGCGTATATTATAATATTATAAAAATTTATATTAATACTATAAAAATTAGTCGAGTTGCTGATAGATTACAAAACAACCTGGAGTGCTAAGGGTTAAATCTCCATGTACGTACACACGTTTCCTTGCGTCCAACGAGTGAGAATGATAAGTGGCGCCATGTTGTCGCTTCGAGAACGAAGAGGATGAAATTAGTGCCACCTCGTTCTAAACACGTTGACTGCCACGGGGGTCACCGGTGACCCCCAACCAAATCCGATTACTATAGTTCATTCGATTAAAAGACGATTATTTGGAAAAATTTCTGTATTATAAACAACGCTACCTAATGCAGTGACATTCGACTACATGAACATGCAATGCGAATGTTTAAGATTTGAACACTGAAATTCGAATGTTAGAATTCATTATAATTTATTTCAAATTTCAGTGTTGAAATTAAGTTACCACACTAAGTTGTACAGTGACTTATAAGAAACTTTGTACAAAGCTTCTCTCTAATCAGACCGTGCAATAATATATTCTTTCCGTTTCATGTATTTTGCATTCAACCTGTTAATTAATATAAAAAAGAGGAAAGTACGCGCTGATCTCTTGCTGTTTCAATGACATCATTTGTTTGCGACTCAGCACCAGAGTTACAGGTCGAAGGACTCATTTCTGAATTCTTTTGTTACAACTATTGGAAAGACGGACAAGCAGGAACAATTATTAATTATTTGACGTTACAATGCATCACACTATTATCAACTTAGTTACGTTATTAAACATTTTCATTTCACATCGGTTATCTTGTATGTTACGATTGTTTTCTAGTCATTCGGCGTCAGTCACCAGTGACATGGCGCTTAACGCGTTAATATCATATTTTCTTCATTTTGCGTGTTTTACCATATGAAATCGGCATTCAACGTGTTAATGAAAGATCAAAGCGGAACAAAGAATCACACGTTTAAATGAAAAAATCAAGAATTCATGAGAGAATTAGTATCAAGCTTTACGATGTATACTCGTCGACCACAGTTAACTGGTTAAGGACAACTAGTGCTCTCATAACACGATGGGGTATGAAATTGAGCATCGTATTCGTCGGATATCTATAAAATATTCACATAAATCTCCATAATCCGAATCTGCTAGAAGATCGTTCCAGTTGCAATTATTAGTGTCGCGATGTACGCTAGTATAAAGCCACCATAAGTAGGCCATGAGTCATCCCGTTTGACCTGCATTTATTTGGGTTGTTTAAACGCCGTACAATTTGTGATATTCATGTTTTATTCAGTCCAATGCCGAATGGTGGGCGATTCTGGCTACCCACCATGGACATATTCTTATATGGAACTTCGTGAGTCGTTTCTGTGGCCCGTCCTCCGAAGGCCGTGCTCGTTGTTGCACAATTCCGAGGGAATCTTGTTATCCCCGCGAAGGGAGTGAAAAAAAAGGAACGGCAACGGTAATAAACTCACCGGCGGTAGTGTTCCTCTTCTGTCCGCTTCGAAACGGCTGGTGAATTCGAGCTAATTAAACCGTTAATCAGCCTGGCTCAATTAAATCGGACTCGGCTCCAATTGAAATCGATTGGCGCACTACAATAAATTCCTGTGTGCATCTACTTGTTCCACTCGTCGAACTTGAACAACTCTGGTTCGCTTAACATTGGAACTACTAACATTGCGAGCGATAATGACCCATTCATGATTTCTTCTGTAGAACTTATCGATACGTTGATCGAGTGGCAAATTGAAAGATCAATCGGAACGTTGTGAATTCTTAACACGTTGAACGCCGCACGATTTCATAGCGCAAAATACACAAAATGGAAAAACAATATTAAATCATTCAACTGAATTGGATTATTATCATTGCACGTTCATTAAACTGAATGTCACCGCAATGGATAGCATTATTTATAATATAGAAATGTGTGCGAATAATCATCGTTTCATCGTAAAAGCGAGGGTCGTATACGCCCCATACAGCCTGAACGGAAAAAAATGGTCCGGCTCGGAACGCAATTGATTGACTTGCCAGGAAAAAGATTCGCCTTGGATCAACTTGTCCCTAATGACTTTCGTAGAGAACTGCGAATAAAACATTCTCGATATTCTTCTGATTCAGCGACGAAAATAACAGACCGTGAAAATCATGGGCGGAATGACGCAGAGACCATGGACACCGACGAAAAGACGGGGTCCCATCGCCGCCGAGTACACCAGCCCGGGTCCAGCTTGCGTGACCCTGCCACCGTTAATTGGTACGCGTGATCGTTGCGTCACAGTATCGTCTATCTATATATAAACATTCATTAGAGAGAGATCATTATCGTCAAACGAACCTTTCCCTTCATAAAAAGAATATTTTCTGGAAATATTTTTAGGCAAGACCGTTCCCGACTCGAAGCGAGGCAGAGCTCCAGCCTTTTCTTTTGGCAGCAGGTAAGAGAGATTAATTAAATTAAATTGTTAAGAGAGTAATGAAATTCTTTTTCGAATTTTTCCATCGACGCGAAGACATTCTAACAAGAATGACAGTCCCGGACCGGGTCCCGGCCAGTACAACGTCTTCGGGCTCAGCGCGAAAGGTGAGCATCAGTAATGACGCCGGGACGTAATGATTACTTCGCTAAGGAAGGATCGCGAATGATATTGGCGAAGCGAGGAATAATTTAGAGAATGATATAATACCGCGGGCGATGCTACAACGCTGCTCAGCATTCGCATCAGCTGTATCGATCAAACTCCGGAGTTGTTTCGCGAGAGTGTAGGCCTTTTAATGGTCACCATCCACGAAATTCCTTCACCTAGGGCTCGATAATCTGCGCGTTCGACGGTTATTCGTTTCTCGGCTACCCGATGACTCCGTTCGAGTCTTCTTTTCGTTATTGTATTCTAGTGGAATTTTTGTGAGAATTATTGCTCTGCTTGTTTAACGCTAATCACTGTAATTCAATTACTAATTATTTTCGAAATTAATCCTTTGTGGAGATTCTTTGGAATGTACAAAATATTCAACAGATGAAGCTGAATTATATGTCGATTGTATAATTGATAGAACAAAAGGAAACTAAGTGCTGATCTCTTGCTGTTCGAGTAATTGAATCATTTGTTTATGACTTAGTCTTTGAGATATGAAAGTTTCATCGAATGTCGACGTTCGTCCGCAAAGAGTTAATTACCACTAATTACAAGAATATTCGTTATTTTCTCTAAGACACTTTCCTTAGCAAGATTTCATTTATGATTGATTAAGTATATATTTATCTATGTTTTTGTTACATTAAGATTTAACCCTTTGTCTACTCTGTTTAATGTATGTGTTAAATGAAACTTTATTATGAAATTTGTCTAAAGTTTGAAGGAAATACATTTAACCCTTTGAATTCTGTAGGCTCCAATATTGCACCAGTTGTAATATTAAATATTTTAATGAATCTTAAACTACCCTAAAATTATTAGATTTTCCAGGCATCCAAATTTTGCACTGAGAAGGAGAATAAAATAATAACTATAGAAATTGCAATTGCTGACAGATTACAAAACAACCTAGAGTGCTAAGGGTTAATGTATTTAACATACTGATCCGGACAGCACTGATTGTTAAATTAGTCTAATCTTCATCACGATTCTCACTCGTCATTGCACAAGGGGTTAAAGATCATTCATCTCCAACCCAAGTGATTAACCCTTTGCACTCCAACAATTTGTCACCAGAAATATTCAATCTATTTCCAAAATGACTGTTTCCATCTTTTTATTTAGCAATCACTGATATCTTCGAGGCATTGAATATTCGAAATGACTTTGAAAATAAATAGTCCTTCGAGTCACGATAAACAACAGGATCTAACATTCAACTGTTTCGAAACCACAGGAAAGGATGCGGCACCGGCGTCGTCATTGCACGGCCGCGGGAAGTCATCGAGGCTGGAGGTGACACCAGCACCGGGTGACTACAATCCGGAGAAAGCTGAGAAGATCATCCTGGACAGCTCACCGAAATACTCGTTCGGTATCAAAACGCAAACAGAGAAGATCAGCTGCACACCTGGTGAGCACATCCATAAATTCTTCAGTATACACTTCAATATTCCTGAAACAATAAATAAAAGATTTCAATGAAAGATCATCCACCGATCACTGAATGTTCAATACAAGAAAACAGTCCAAAGCAATCATACAAGATGTCCAATGTAAAAACGATAATCGAATCTCAATCCTAGCACCGAGCGACTATTGCACTGAAAAGATGAATCTCGACAAAGCCCCCGAGTATAGTTTCGGCTTAAAGCCGCTATTGGAGAAACCGAGCGATATTCCTGGTAATTACGAACCACGATAAGCCTAGCATTCTCGTTCTTCAAGACTAATCGACACTAATTGCAGCGAAAGACTGAACAGGCCCCTTGAAAACGCTTTGCGAACCTAACAAACGGATAGCGCTACTGTTCTCTATAATCTCCTGTACTTCTATCATTCAATTTCTAATTAATAATTAACGCTAGAACTACGACAAATGAAACGGCTGTTTTATAATTATCTATGAATATTTCCAAACTCGGATTCATTAGTTTGTACTACTATTAATCACCCTTAATTTTAGTTAAGCGGCGGTTAGAGGAAGAATATATAATAACCAGCCAGTACGTTAACTTTCAAATGACAGAATATAGAATATAGAATCGGCGCTGTTTCGATTGTCTTTATTAAATTTGCCATTAGAAAGGTTTGTCACGGCGGAAGTTAAGAAATTTGTTGAGAGAAGATCAACGCCACGGTGAAACGAGGAATAACACTTTGTTGAGTTTTAGGTACTCGAATTAATTTAACTACAATTTTATAAAGACAATCCATGGCGTTACTCTCGCGCAGTTGCGATCTTCTGTTCGGCTGTTTATTTTACTTTGCAGTTGTGGCCTGATAAAGTGTTCGTTCCGCCTGTTAGAGATTCACGCTACGAAGTAGACTAATAATATTCTGTAGAATGATTCCGATCGACAGTGCATGTGCAAAGTTGTTTCGTTAGATTGCATGCGTTACGCTTATTAAGAATATTCTCCACTATACACCGTTTCAATGAAGTATCAGGCAATATATATCTTGAATTGTACTTCATTCATTTCAGCCATTGATGAATTCCTCAAGATTTGATTAAATTATAGTTGACACTACTGTTTCACAATCTAAATTACTTTGATTCTTAAATACTTGGAAATAAAATACCGTCGCCGTTATTCGATTATTGGAAAACCATATTTCGATGCAGATAGAGGAACTCATCGATGGCTGAAACGATACAGATTGTCAGAATTTATAAATATTTCATTCTGTTGCGGTGACCAGCACCTGGATCTTACTGTCCGGAAAAGGTAAGATTGGACAGCGCGCCGCAGTTCACCTTCGGACTCAAGCCTCCTCTCGAGAAGCCGAACGATACCCCAGGTAATCAGTTGAAAAATTTGCTGGATTAGCACTTCGCCGGCTGAATCGTTGCTCGTTCGTTTCAAGGACTGTCCACAATAGCGATTAAAATCCTCCTCGTTCCTCTGAAGTCTTTCACTGGAAAAATAACACTTCAATTAGCGTTCGGGTCCAAACAGAGCTGACAAGACAGACTTGACATTTCTTGTTTAACACTATAACCACCAGGCAAGTCAGAATGACTCATTCCTAATTTCTTCTTTTTGCAATTATTGAAGAAATAACTTTAATTGTAAAAAAATAAACTGAATTGTAAATCAGTTGAAGTCTTAATGGATGCACTGCTGGAGTTTCTGTAGAGAAATTTTAGAAAATCAATCTTAATACTTGGTGGTTCTAGTGCTAATGATTTATGGAAGTATTGAGTTACTTACGTTGGAAAAAATGAGATTAGAATTCAAAGAATAACTTACTATTTCCAAGAGCAGTATTGAAACTGAGCTTGAAATTCTGCTTGGCGAAGCAACTAAAAATAGAACTGCATGGATCATCATTGTCACAAGCTTATCTTTTATAGCACCTGGCACCTACTGTCCTGAGAAAGTGAACTTGGACAAAGGTCCTCAGTACAGCCTCACAGGTAAAGGGCGCGTGGATAGACCAGATGACACCCCTGGTACGTAAGAAGTCTCTTTGTAGCATTTGATCCAGGAACAGATTGAAACGATCAAACTGAGAGAGACAAAATGATTCCTCAGCGCCAGGTACGTATTGCCCGGAAAGAGTGAAGCTGGACGCTGCACCGCAGTTCACGTTTGGACTTAGAACGCCGCTAGAGAAAACGAACGACACGCCAGGTAGAAATTAAATATTGGATGCGTTGGTTCTTCCTTGGAACAACTTCTGAATGCAGCTCCTTTTTATAGCGCCTGGTACTTACAGTCCAGAGAAGGTGAACTTAGACAGGGGTCCGCAGTACAGTTTGAGTGGCAAGATTGTTCAGGAAAGACAGAATGATACTCCAGGTATGGAATAGTGTGAACTGAACACAGTTGAGAAAGAATAAAGTATTTTGTATGAGTTGGTACTATACATTTTAATCTCTAAATATGTCTAACTTGATGTCTTCCATGTGGAGAGGAAATTTTGATGGATAGTGTTTCGACCCCTCTGTCTTCTCTGTAAAAGCAATGTTTTTAATCAAATATGTATTAGAGATTACAATGACAGATGTATACGAATCATGGGATTTTTAGTTTGTTGTATTTAATTTACCAACTTACAGCACCTGGATCTTATTCTCCTGAGAAGGTAAATCTTGACAGATCACCCGAATACAGTTTTGGATTGAGAACGTCACTCGACAAGCCAAATAATAATCCAGGTGTGGAGCTTTATGATAAAATATCTACTTTATGTTAGTCGATCTCTGGTTTGGTTAACTGAAAAATAAATGGGACTGCTTTTGTAGCGCCTGGAGATTACTGTCCGGAAAAGGTGAATTTAAATAAGGGTCCGGAGTACAGTCTGAGTGGTAAGGGACCATCTGAAAAGTTAAGTGATACTCCAGGTTGGTACAAAGAATTTTTAGCCCTTTCAGTAAACAAATTTTTTTGTAACAGTTTTATTTTTTCTGGTTCAATTATACCCTAGCTCCAGGTGCATATAGTCCTGAAAAAGTGAATTTAAATAGGGGTCCACAGTACAGTTTATCTGGAAAAGGGATGCCAGAAAAGCTCAACGATAATCCAGGTGATTAGGATAAAAATAAATAATACTGATTACCCGAGAGAAAATATTTATACATATATTATACCTATTAATACAGCACCTGGAACATACAGTCCTGAGAAGGTAAATTTGGATAGAGGTCCTCAATACAGTTTGTCTGGCAAAGGATTACCAGAAAAGCCCAATGATAATCCAGGTAATCGATACAAGAAACGTCAATACGTATCGCAGTAAATATATTTATCAGTATGTTCTATTTGTTATCGCAGCTCCGGGGACGTATAGTCCTGAGAAAATAAATTTAGATAAAGGGCCACAGTATAGCCTATCTGGGAAAGGATCACCTGAAAAACCCAATGACAATCCAGGTGAATTTATTTGGACTGTTGCTGGAGCTTGTTACTTTGGAAATTCAGTTGGTATAGGTTTAACATTCGGTATACTATGAACACTGATGTTTTGATTGCTTTGGTAGGCCCTGCTGATTACTATCCAGAGAAAGTAGTAAATTTGGAACATAAACCTTATTTCAGTTTTGGTAACAGAAAACCATTGGATAAGCCTAGGGATACACCAGGTAATGGTGTGGATTAACAAACTACTAATAACGTTTACTATACAACTTGCCATTTCTTTAATATTAGACCAACTATTAATGAGGATACATAGTGCTTTCCATGCTTTAAATTGGTAATAACCTTCAGAAAAAGGATACTTTAGCTTTTGTACATTTCTACTCTGCTTGCACTTATTGCATGTAATAACTTGAGCACAAACATTGCAATTATTTAAAGTGGCAGTATATTAATAATAACGTAGTTTAAGTGTATTAACAAAATCTTAGTATTGTTTCTTTAATTTTGTAGCTCCTGGCACTTATTCTCCAGAAAAAGTCAATTTAGATAAGTCTCCGGAATATTCATTCGGTGTAAAGGCATTCGTTGAGAAACCCAATAATATACCTGGTAATAAATATTCTGTATAAATTCGTCATTATTAGTCAAGTATAAAATTAAGCTTGCATTCGGCGAATTTAAAATTTGTATGTATTCAATGCAGCACCTGGAAGCTATCACCCAGAAAAGGTAAATCTAAACAAATCTCCACAGTACAGCTTTGGGCAGAGGATCAATCTACATGAAACAGATTCAATACCAGGTACGAAAAGACACTGAAATGTATTTCTCATTTTTCTGTTTGTTAATTTTCAATAAATGTACCTCGTTTAAAGGTCCAGGCGAGTACAGTCCAGAAAAAACTATGCTTTTATTGGAAAAAGCATTGCAATTTACTTTCGGTCTCAGGACAAATATAGACAGACCGAACAACATTCCAGGTAAAGGTGTAAAATTGATCTCCCTATTCGCTTCCTTAATATTATTTTGCACTGCATCATTAACATAATTTACAGGAATGGAAAACTTCATTTTCCCTGTCAAATATCTTTTTCTAATATAAACAACAGCGAATGCTTCATCGCCATTAATGCAATTATTCAAATTGTGCGTCCCCTGCTTTGTTTGTTTCAGCTCCAAATGTTTACAACATTCCTTCGGCTCTTGGAGGAACGAAGGAGGGTAACAAAAAAACTGCACCGGCTTTTTCAATTTCTGGTAGACAAAAAGTGTTCACAGACGACCGTGTGTTAGTTCCTGGACCTGGGACCTATGAAGCTGTGAAGCCAGACGCTGTTCGAGTAAAGAGTCCCGCCTACAGCATGAGTGCTCGCGTTCACTTGCCTGATGATCACTCGCAAATTCCAGGACCCGGAGCACACTGTCCAGAAAAAGTATTAGCAATTTCCATACAGTGTAGAAAGTTATCGGAAGTCTTTCAGACATGTCTTCTTCCGATTTAAGAACATTTTTGTTGGAAAATAATGATACACCGAAACGTCAGAAATTATTTCTTATTTCTGTTGGTATGTTTCAAAATGGTGTTCGTAAAATGTGTAAACATTGTTTACAGGTAGTTCTTGATATTCCTCCAGCCCATTCATTTGGCATTAGACACTCACCGTATATATGCAACCTGAAGGATGTTGTTTATTAATACAAAAAGCCTTGCTGAAGTCGACGTTCACCAATATCTTACTCTGAGATAATAAATTACATATCATCGATATAACAGTAACAATGTTTCATTCCAAAGTGGCAATTCTACACATAGGCAAATATTTTCTTAACTTTGCTTTGCAAAACTGATTACAGAACTTGGCATTGCTAACTAATTAAATACGCTACGAAAAGAATGGGAGTACTTTTATATGAAATTGATATCATGTTCAACAATGTTATTGTGTGCTACAAATTGTAATAATTATGTTAGTACGGACATTAACAATCTTTTTTCTTTTTTAACTCGTTTAAATGTATGCTAAGTTTTATTACAAACATGTGACAGAAAAAATACAAATAAATAATGTAACTTTTATAATAAAATTTACATTTTCATGTAACATATATGTTCGTTGAATTTAATATGCATTTCTCTTTGATTATATTATAGAGGAAACATTTCCGAGATCTACTAATTTAAAGAAGCTTTAGCTTATAAAATAAAAGTTTATTTATCAACAATAAAAATTGTTTATTAGTATATATATGTACATAAAAAAATAACTGATCCTTATGTTAAAATATATTGTTAATCGTGTTAGCACCGTAGTTATATCAGATGTAGTAATACCGCAGATTAACAATCTTTGTAGGAGTAAAAAATATATAAAATATATTTCTTAAAAAATGATGTATATAAAATATACTGTTATGATATATGAATGTATAGATAAATACTTCTGTGGCTGTAGCAAAATTTACAGCCGTTTTTTTTTATGGAAGAGACATATTTTGATTGGCATTGAAAATACATAGAATTGTAATCTGTTGTACAGAATACAATTGTTGTCTTAATTATAACTGTAAACGCATTCACCTGAAATCCATGTGGACAACAATTCCAAATTATCATTCAGCATTACTAAATCAGCATCTGCTCCATAGTTTAAAACCCCTTTTGTTTTCTCAATGCCAAGAGTTCTTGCTGGATGGAAAGTTGCAGCTTCTAAAGCCTCCACTATTGAACAATCTACAAAAAATATACATACAAATAATCAGTACAGTACATGATACAGTATACATACTAAAAAAAAATATTTAATTCATGTTAATTAGCAGTTTTAATATTACTTGTTGCTTCTTTAAAGTGGCGAACGCATTTCGACATTTCTGCTGTACTACCGCATAAAGTATTTGTATCAGCGATATAAGCACTGCCCATACGCATTTCTATTTTTAATTGCCCTAATTGGTGTACACCTTCCTCTAAACCCAGTGCTGATATTGCATCAGTTACTAAAACGAGTCCTAGAATATGACACTGAATGTAGTATATAATAAAAAAGCTTCTTATAATGTGAGAAAATGTTGAACCTTCAGGATGCGTTCTGTGAGCTATACGCAACGCAGCAGGATGAGTGTGAATACCATCTGCAATTATTCCATAGTGAATAATTTTCCCTTCTGGAATCTTATCAGAAGTTAGAAGCCCAACTAATCCTGGATCTCTGTGATGAAACTGTAAACACGAATTTAATACTTATTTTATTTCATTCTATATAACTTATAGAATACAACTGATTTTAATATATTGTATAGTTACCGGTAACATTGCATTAAAAAGATGAGTGATAAATGAAGCTCCACTTCTCACTGCTGCTTCTCCTTCGCATAAATTTCCTACAGAATGACCTGTAATATTTAAATTTTTAATAGTAATAATAATCGTGATGATAATAATATTTGTATGTCTTACCAAGAGAGACCTTAATATTCCTTTTGCATAATTCTTCAATAGTGTTCTGAGCATTAGGAAGTTCTGGTGCTATTGTAACAAGACATACGTTTTCCAAGGTACCATACATATCGATTAAAGTTTTGAAGCCCTAAAATGCAAATTAATAAAATTAAACATAAATGTGTAATGAATTTATAACAATTAAATTCATGCATATAACTGTATACTTTATGATTCTTAACGTATAAAAAGGACTTGCATTGTCTAACTGCTTAATATAATTTTCCGGATGAGCTCCCTTTTTACTTGGACTAATAAAAGGTCCTTCTAAATGAATGCCCAAAATAGATGCTCCTTGCATTCCACCATCCTTTTTCTTAATTTTTGGCACTATTTTATGATATGTTTCACTAGGTGATGTTACCAATGTTGGACAAAATGATGTTACACCAAATTCCAATAATTTTTTGGCTACTTTATTAATTCCTTCTTCTACATTGTTAACATTATGTGTAAAATCTATACCAAAACCACCTAATTCGAATGAAATTAAAATAAGTGAATCATTATTACTTAGAATATATTTTTAAAAATAAAGATCACAATGATCGAAAATGTAATTACATAACAATATAATTTTTTGAGCGTGTATAAGTAAATGCAACAAGTCGTTCCATTTGTAGTAATATCTAGATAATACAATAATACCAAAATGATTTAAAAAATTTATAACAATTGCAAATCTACGAACTAGGGTATACTTGAAATTTTCATCAAACTTAATACTTCTTTTAATATATTACGAATTCAATATTTAGAATCTAGACATCAACTACGGAAAACTCGTTGGATTCGAGGTACAAAATTTATTATAAAATAATTGTGTACTTATATCAAGTACCATTTATCTGAAGGTCGATATATCCAGGTGAAATTAACGCTCCTTTGCAATCAATTTTAATATTCGGTTTTATTTTCTCGTCATAAAAAATTTTCTCAGGGTCAACGATTTTTCCGTTGCGGACCCATAAATCTTCGAACCAGATCTTGCCATTGCGTAAAATTCGACAGTTGTAAAACTGTTTTAAAATCTCCTGATCTTTTTCTAACATATCGATGATGTAAGAAATTAGCCGCAAATGTATTTCTTTTGTGTTTGCGAACCTTCTCTCACAAAAAACTAATTGTCAATGCGACTCGGTGATTTACATTATCGGTCACAGTTATCAGTACTGTTATAAAATCATGCAAAACACAAAAGCTTGTCAAGTGGTGGCACTGACCTTATTACCACATAATTTTTTAAAGATGTCGCTCAAAGTAACTTTGGGCCAATTTATTCGCATCGGAAAAAAATAAGAACAATTAACAGTTCTCCATTACAGATTTTTCCTTTTTCAATCTTATTTTATAATTGATAGAAATATTCATGAATAAATGAATTTTTAATTAATGCTCATCGTGTAACAAATTTTAATCATTCAGAAATATACTACTTCTTTTTTAATTACAATTAAATTATATCACTTAATATTATTTGAAATACGTAATTAACAATATACTATTCAATTCCTGTTCGAATGCATACATTAAATATGATTGATCATTAATATTCGTTAATGTTATTAAAACTGTTCATCAGACTTATCAAAAGTATTGTTTTCATAAAAGTATCAAATATATTAATGTAGTACTTACCACGTAAAAAGTATTTGAATTTATAAATGACATAGAAAATTATATGGTAAACATGAAATCATTTACCTCAAGGTCAAAATGTAATTCTAATCGCTAACAAATTAAATTGGAAATAATTTAGTATAGAAATCTTACAAGTACTTTTTCAAGCAATTCCAGGGCATTCTACAAGCTGAAGGAAAGGAATGGTCAATTATTATGAATAATTTAGTAATTCCTTTTTTCCATTTGGGCCCGCGATTTAGCCGCGAAATGATTAATTCATGGAAAAGAAATCACGGTGTTACGCGTACGACAGAGTAGAGTGTGAAAAAGACAATAAAGGACTACTTCCAGTTTTTACAAGTTTTATATTAAAAATGCTTTAACAGTACCGAAAAATTTATCCACAAATCAACGTGCGTTTCGAAAAAAATTCAACTATTCTTCTTTGTATATAAACGTAACAACATAGTATAAAATGAAGCAATTAAAAATGACAATGATTATTCGTGTAGAGCTGAGAGCGCAATTGGTTTTTTTTAAATATTTATATGACAATCATAGCTGTCAATAAGCCATATTTCGTTTCATCGTCATTGTTGGATAAAGGGAGGGTACGCATAATTTTGTCATTGGTATGTCGAAGAGTTTAAGCTTGATCTGGAATAGGAAATATGATATGATTAGATGAC